CATCCTACTCACCAAGGTGCAAGAGCACCTGGGAACACACTCACAGAGGAGTAATGGCCTTAAGGCATTCATCTGTTGCCACAAGGCATTGCTTCTAGTAAAGTATTCATTGATACTCATTCTACCCTGAACATTCTTGAATATTTGATTTTGAATTTCAGAAATCTTATGGGGGTCTGACTGAGAGTACCTCTTTTGCAGGGATTTCCAGATATCGGAGGCTTTGTCAAAATACATTATGCTCTCCGCAATGCTTGGGCTAACGGATTTCAAAATCCAGGAGCAAACTATTCTATTGCACCTCATCCATGTTCCGATTCTTGGATCCGCGGCTTCTGGGATTGGAATTGTTCCATCAACAAAAACAAACTTGTTTTTGACTTCCAGCGTCATTCTCATCGATCTACTCCACGATGCGTAATTTGTCTCGTTGAGAAGAGGAGATACGAGACTGAGATTGGGGTTTTCGGTGACGTGAAGGTAGAAGGGGTCGTCGAATTCGTCGTTGCGTTGATTGACGGGAGTCTGCATCAGAATTTGACTGGTCTGGCCTCCAGCGTGTTCTGACTGACCGGAATTGCCATTTCCGTTTGTCTCCATTACAACCGCGGCGGCGTAGCTTCTTGCCCGCTCTGATACCATGATGGAATAGCTTCAATCTTTCATTCAAAAGGAAAAGATTCACACTGTCTCATTGAGAAAGGAAACTCACACTTGGCTTCTTGATCATTCTGCTATATGTATCTATTACAAGATGAAGGAGATTAAGGGAAACTAAACCGGTGGGTAAAACCACCTTTAACTAATTAACTAACAAAGCTTGAAATTACACAAAAGACCTTTGACTTAGAAAAGACTAACTGCTGGCCGCAACTGCTTCATGTACTGTTTGGCAAGGGTCTACTGTGGCATTGTGGACCTTAGCATACTGAAGACTTTATCAGGAGGCACCAAAAACCCGCGGACAACCGTAGCAGAACCCAGTTGGAAGTCTCCCAGCAAGACAACAGCCAGAAACACTACGGAGCAACAACGACGTTCTTCGTCTCCATGGCCGGAGACGAAGAGACTCTCCGTCTCCATGGTTGGAGACAAAGAGTTTCTTCGTCTCCGGCCATGGAGACGAAGAAACCTTCTTCGTCTCTGGCCGGAGACGAAGAACGTCTCCGGCGGAGACGGGAAAGGTTGTTTTTTGTTTTTTTGTTTTTTTTTTTTTTTTAGTTTTAATTTATTACTTTTAAATAATAATTTTTTAAAAAATATTTTAAATTTTAGGTGACCTGTTACTAACCTACAAAACCTGTAAATTAGACTAATTGAATGAAATTGGTTAGTTTAGGGACCTAATTGTTGCTTTTTTAGGTTCAGTGGCATAATTGCATTATTGTGTGCAGTTTAATGGCCTATTTGACCCTTATTCCTTAATAAAAAAATAATTTTTTTTTGCCACCTCATCTTGCAAGTGGAATCATTTCTGGGATGGGGTTAGCCTAATAATAATAATAATAATAATAATAATAATAATAATAATAATAATAGGGTAAAAAGAGAGAGAGAGAGAGAGAGAGAGAGAGAGAAAGGAATTGAAGTAGGAAATAGAAACAAAAAAAAATGGAAAATAAAGACGGAACAAAGAAAGAAAGGAATTGAAGAAGCGTCCAACCTAGGATTTTATCAGGATCTCAAGCACTGTTTATCCGAAACACTATTAATTCGTGTATTTCCATTCTTCTAAATGGAGAAGAATGATTTTAGGTTCTCCAATTGTTTTTTTAAAAAAAAAAAAAAATTCTTCCATTTTCTCCAAAAATAGAAGAATGGAGATAGAGTTAAGATTGAAAAATTAAATTAAATTTAGTAAACAAGTTTTTCATTTTATTATTTTTTATTTTATTTTTCTAATTTCTTTTTTTTTTTTAATTTTTCACTTTGATAAACGATCTCTCGTAATTTCGCCAATTTAATCAAGAAAAGGAGCTAAACTGCCAGGCTGCTACCAACAGTTGCGAAGAGGAAGTGGAGAAAGAAAAGACAAAAAACAAAAGAAAGGGGAGAGTTTGGGAAAAGTGAAAAAAAAAAAGTTGGTTTCGGCAAAACTCTAATAATAATAATAAATAAATAAATAAATAAATAATCTTGGATTTTTTGTTTGAGGTTTTGCCTGGTTAAATTATTCCGATTCTACCTGCATGATCTTGTCCGGTTGAGTATGTTGCCCATGGTTCCCCAAGGCACGAAAGAAAAATTTTCTCGGCTTCGTTTGAGGTTTTGTCCGGATGAATTTTTTCGGCTCTACCTACACAATCTTGCCTGGTCGAGTGTTACATCTATCCCGCTTCTTAGCGATGAACATATCTATCCCGATTCTAAGCAATGAAAGATCAATCCCACTTTTCAGCGATGAACAGATATATCCCGCTTCTCAGTGATGAAAGATCAATCCCGCTTTTCAGCGATGAACAGATCTATCATGCTTTTCAATGATGAAAAATCAATTCCGCTTTTCAGCGATGAACAGATCTATCTCGCTTTTCAGCTATGAACAGATCTATCTCGCTTTTCAGTGATGAACAGATCTATCCGCTTCTGAGCGATAAAATATCTATCCCGCTTCTCAGTGATGAACATCTATATCCTACTTCTCAGTGGTGGTTGGTATATCTCGCTTCTGGTGGTTGGTATTCTTTATCCCGCTTCTTAGCGGGTACAATAAATTTAGATGCGTGCACAACTCCAAAATGGTGCGTTAAATATGAGTTGTTAGGCACCCTTCAGAGTGAGGGGCTCATTTAGTTTAGAGAGGTGGAATTAGGTACTAACTTAGGATAGGCATATTAGGATATGCATGCATCGCATACATCTTTTGCATGATTGTTGATGGTCGACATGCTCCGTTTCTCACTGAACGGTATTTTTTATCTCGCTTCTCAGCATATGGTATTCTTTACTCTGTTTTTCAATAGATGGTATTCTTTATCTTGCTCCTCAACGGATGGTATTCTTTATCCCGCTTCTCAGTGGATGATATTTTGATCTTTATCCCACTCATCAGCGAATGATATTCTTTATCCCACTTTTCATGGAACGATATTCTCTATCCCGCTTCTTAGCAATGAGATCTCACGGTGGTCAGGCCCGGCCCTGGGCAAGGACAGGTTGGGCCCTTGCCCAGGGCCCACGCTTGGAAGGGGCCCACCACCCTACCCCACTGTATTTTATATATACTGTAGAGTTAGTATACTTATTTAATATAGAAATCTATGTAAGTAAAGTATCAATTGGTTAAGTGGTAAGGTTCTTTGTTTGCGTGTTGTATGTTGTGGGGTTGAATCTTGGTATCCCCATTTTTATTAACTTTTCGTTCACTCCCTATATGAATTTAGATATGTTATATTATTATGTGGTATTAAAATTGTAACTCCCTATATGAATTTAGATATATTATTATGTAGTATTAAAATTGTAACTTATAGAATTTATTTGTATTTTTTATTTTTTACCTTTTTATAATTATTGTGAGATTTATAATATAGATTGATTCGTGATTCATATCAAATTTTGTAATTTACTACTTATATTTAGAACACGTGTTATTTTGTGAACTTTATAATGAGTAATGTATATATAATATATGTCGTGATTTAGTTATCATTTTTTCAAAAGATAGTTTACTTTTTTTATGAATTATCTAGTCAACGTAGTTTAGAAGTTCTATTATGTGTCTTTGTATTCAAATCAATTTATAAAATTTTGAAATTGATCTAACTAAAAAAAAAGTATTTATAAATATGATATCAATATAGAATATATGAAGGGATTGATGTGGTTATTGATTATTTTGGATTTAAGAAAACATCTAGAATTGTTTTCATGTGTATGTAAAATTGTTAAAAAGTTTTGAATCCTATTTCAAGTTATTTGACATTAGTATTTTTCCTTTATTTAAATTAAAATTTAATTATACAAATGTATGTTAATTTCATATAGGGCCCATTTTTGTTGCTACGCCCCGGGCCTATAAAATGATAGGACCGAGGACCCGGCCTGACGGTGGTCGACAAAATAAAAGATAAGTTACTATTATCAACTATTTAAGTTGGAAGAAAGATAAGGAATTTTTGAACCTATCTCCTAACAAAGAATCTCATATCAAACTGAGGGCGCACCTCTATAATAATATCATATGTTATTCATCTTGCAAGAAATAATTTCCAAAAGCTCACTGGACATGATCAATCACTAGAGATTCAACCAGGAGGAGCTGATGTAGCTGCATAAACAATCCAGACGACCCTTTATAGTCTTAAAGATCATGGTTGTACTCTTTTTCCCTTAGCTAAGTTTTTTTCACTGAATTTTTTATAGTCTAAGGTTTTTAACAAGGCAACTAGTGTAAATCACGTCCCCTATGCTCAACTCAGACTTGAGGGGCTCATCATGGACTACTAAGGCATTCAGACCGGGGGGGGGGGGGGGGGGGGGGGGGGGCTTTGTTCGTCTGGTCGTAGGGAACATATTTCACTCAACAATTCTCGTGGATTCAATATATGGAAGATTCGTGATGGGTAAATACGCACACGGACTACCCGTAGGAACCACGAGTGAATTATTAATGTATTATTATATCCTCGAAAGGTCAAGTGTCCCTTGAATAATATTAAGGGTCAAGTGTCCCTTAGAAATTTTGAAGGATCAAGTGTCCCTTGAGAAATATTTTATTCCTGAAAGGTCAGATCCTACAACTATATAAACGGCCTTAACCTTCATTGTAACTCATTCAACATTCAATTCAAGATTCAGTACTAAGGATTCAATACACATTCAATCAATATATTTTCATACCTACGGTAATTGACTACCCTGTAGTCAATAACACCATCAACGAGTTTAGGGGTATAATGATATATTTTCATAATTTAATAGCAATAATTCGATAACCTATTTGACTTTATCTCTATATTTAACCCCGATATGCCATTAACAGCAGTGGAGAAGATGAATTCAATAACCAGAAAAAAAGTGTAATCTATATTGTTCAGTTCCAGTTTTACTGCAGGCACAATATACACCACCAGCAAAAGCTGATAAGAAAAGATAACTATAAAGAGGACATAAAAACCTCCCTATAATGCAACTAAGTTTGTATGAAGGTTAAGTCCAATGCTCTACATGACTACACTCTATATATCCACTGTGTTCATTCAAAGTAGTAATTCCAAGATTGATTCTTCGAAAATTTCTTCTGCAATTTGGCTCACAATACCTGCAGAATTGATCCTTAAATCGAGCCACAATCCAGGTTTGGCTAAGTCCTCGGAAACTAGCCAGTCCAATGTAGGTTGTTCTGTTAATGGACAAAGCCTGTGCTTCACTTCTTTCGTTACCTTATCCAATAACACGTCCTTTTCGGGCTGAAACGATAGACATGGATGGCACCCGAAGTAGCACTGATATGTCTCGAGTAACACTTCGTTAATGTAGTCTAGTAGGAGATCGGGATTGCAATGCATATCGAGAGATGATAACTCCAGTTCATCAAAAAAGGATGGTTGAATAAGCTGTTCTGGCGAGGGGGTGTTTAACCAGAGCTCTTCCCAATTCGAATAAAATGCTTGCAAAGCTGACTCGATGTAAGAAGATATTGTATCCTTCTCGGGATTGAGGGGTGAAGGTGAATCCTCTTGTGAGTAGTCCTCAAAGTTGATTCGTCGTGGTTGCAAAAGCATTTCACCTGCAGCTGTACATGAAATGAATTCTTTCAAAGATTGCTTGGGTTAGCAGATATTAAGGAAAGTTTTTATGTGGAGAAACATACTTGGTTTTTCGGGCAAGCTTGTTGGGCTATCTACATCTTCCATGAATGACAGGTCGAGGACAGAAACTGGACTAGGATGCTCTTTCTTGTCTTTGACATCCTCTGAAACACCCGGTTTGGTAATGCTTATTGGACTTGATGAAGAAACATCTAACGAAGATCCTCGGTCTGGACTTTTAGAAGGCGAATCCTGAATTAAGGTTATGTCAGGGATTTCTTTTCGAATAGAATAATTGCTCAAATAAACAATTAGACAGTGTGTTGAAAGAATCTTAACCTCATTTGTTTTGGCTACATGTTTATGACTTGAAACCTCCTCATTCTCTGCTTGTGAACCGAAGAAAACTTTCCCTTTGGGGCATTGAGCTGCCCAAAAGTCTCGTTCAGGTGAGTCGAGAATCCTAGCAAGTGTTTTCGTTTGGCTACTTTCTAGAGGTTGTTCATCTTCATTCATATTTATAAACCTCCGAGAGAGGTGCCTTTTTGCCTCGAGAAAGACATCGAATTCTTGTTGCTTGGACAGGTCCAATTTTTTGCGCACAGTTTCAGTTATGCAACTCATTTCAGGTCCATTGCCCGAGTCTTGTACCTTGTCTGCCTTATTTTTCATCCCGGGATTGGTGGTTGCTCGGGTTTTGACAACCTTAATATTTTGTTTGTAATCGAGTTTATGTGAAGTACTAGGCAGCTGCTCCAACTTTTCTCCCATTGCAGATTTCAGTTTTCTCTTAATATCTGCAAGAGAGAAACTTTTGTGCTTGCCATTGCTTCTTTTACTACTCGAGCTTTGAGGAGACACTGAATACGAGCAATTGCAGGCAACGTTTTCAGTGTAATGAACCCTTCTAGGCATCGGCTTCAAAACAACGATTTTGTTTGAAGGCTGGTGGGGATCAGTAAATCGTCCTTCTAACTGCTGTTCAGATTGAATTTTGTTCTTATCAGGGAATTTTTGGTTCGGGAATGACTTGATTGTCTCCTTTTCCATTTCCTTGAGCTGCAAACTCTGAATCTGCTTGGCCAACAATGAATTCGGGTCTCGTAGGAACTTCAGGAACAGATCCTTGTTCGAATTCAACATCTCGAACCCATCAGAGAAGTCTGTAAACTCGCAGCTCGCCTGGCTTCTCTTGATGTACTTTCTGTCTATAAACATTTGATCAATAAACGCCTTGGCACTCATCTGAACCAGCTCATAATCTGCACTCGTAACACTTCTCGCTGCATCTTTGTTTTCCAGATGAATTTGGCTGCAGATATCTTCCAAGATTGCTGCTACGTTTATCTTGTTCTTGTTATGCACTTCCACCGAACTCGAACCCTGCTGAAAGCCCCCCCGTTTTTCTTTCGGAGAACAACAAACAGGCGACGAATGGTTCAGTGAGGCATTCCTTTCTGCCTTGGACTTCTCTATCAGATGATCAAACAACCCGATATCTTCCTTTGAATGTTTCTCGGTGCTAGCTATGGCATGATTCTTCTTTTTCTTCTCGTTCGGCTTCTTTACCTTGTTGTTGTCAGGTCAACAAAACATTATTAAGCACAACGAGGATTGAGGAGGCTAAAAACTGGTTTGATCTGATTCAAGTCACAGGATCAAATATCTCTGGAAATTGACACTGAACTAAGTTTTTACAGAAAACATAGAACTCTGCAAACTTACATTTGTCTTGTGAAACTCATCATCGCGTTTAGCAAGCATACCGGGCTCTGTTGGTTGCAGTTTCCCTGCAAAATTCTCCGATTAGTAAACGTATCTGATTTACGATTACAGATTAGTAAGTTAACTATGCATCCATAAGCAAGAAGCAGAAATTCTATTCCTTTTTGGTGTTCTGTCAGGATTTATCATGGCATGTTTCTGCTATATAAAATGGATAAGAAAGCATCATTCTTGGGCACTTTCTCAGTTTCATCATATCATCAACACACAAAAGCAAAAGGTAAAACTAAAAACACCATAATTACCCAGCATTATCTTACAAAAGAGTTTTTACTCTTTTACCACACCAAAGGTAACATTTTCACTATTGGTGCACAACTTCATCAGATTTCACCCTGAAGGATCAAAAGTAGTAATTTTTGTAATGGTGCACCAATAGTCGGTCCTTTACTGGCTAGGGTCATAGGGTAAGACGGGTTAATGTACACTGTCTGACAGTGGCTGTGGTCCTTTACTGGGTAGCGTCACATGGTTTACCTAATGCACACCGAGACAGTGGTTGTGGTCCTTTACCAACTAGGGTCATGGAATTTACCTTAATGCACATCGTCGAATAGTGACTGTGGTCCTTTACCTGTTAGGGTCACAGGACAACGTAGAATTTACCTAATGCATACTCTCGGGTAGTGGTTATGGATTTTCCAGGCCACCCAAAAATGGCAATAACTCACACAAAATTACAGATTTGACAAAACACAAATGGCACACACTTACATATACACATATATATCATTGCCATTACCATTCTTATGCAGAGTTCTTCCATTAGACAGCACCTTCTGGTTTCTTCTGCTCCTGTGAAAATGGTGGAAACCCCACATACATCTCAGCTGCATATTATCTTTCTGCAATCTCTTCTTCTCCATGGCTAATGCACTATCAGCTCAACTACTCACCCTGAAACCCTGCATATGCTTCCACACCTCAGCCTCCCAAGTGCATATATAATCAAGAAAAGCCAATCCCAGAATGCAAAAACACAAATTGAAGCTAATTTCATGCCAAAAAATAAAAATAAAAATAAAAATTATGAATATGCAATTCTGCAAATGCTTACTGTGAACTAGAACAACAGACTCATAATGCCACAGGAATGAGATAACTGATAACCCTTGAGGAAAATGGAAATCTTTGTGGGAATTTTTTGGAGGAAAAATTAAAGAAAGCTGTGATTTTTGTGGGGTGAAGAATGTGAATGGGAGTGAGGATTGAGGAATAGGAAAGGTGCCAAGAGAGAAATAAATGTGGGTTTGTTTGTGTTTGTTTTCCAATAATTAATAGAAATGGCATGACATTGACTACACCCACCATACACAACAGACAATCTCTCTGTCACAACCACTACCCTCCATGAAATCTTTTAAAACTGATCTGTATGCACAGTTCAGTTGGTCATAGGACTGAAGTTCGGGAACAATGACCCTTAATCGAGTCTCACCAACAATAATTTTGGAACAACTTCTCAAAGTAAAAGGGCTCTTCGTACTATATTCAACTGAGTTACCATGATTTACATTCTTTCAGATGCTCTGTTAGGCCAGTTCGGGACTGGGGACAATATTTTATAACCAAGAAAGAAAAACCTTAAATTACTCCACATTTTCCTTTCCCTATATCATCATACCTGTTTTTCTTTCCTTATTAATAACATAATTATTTCATTATTATTATAGTCCATGTTGAATCATGTAGTCCACAGATTATTCCATGAAGCTTAATTGTGATTTGTGAGTCCTCATCTATAGTTTTTAAAAACAACTTTGTGCAGTGTCTGAGCATATAAGTTAAATTCCTATAAATTTTAAACATCAAACACCAAGTTAAATAATTACTCCATTTGTCTCAAATTTTAGGATCCATTTTTTTCTTTATTATTTTTTGTAATATTTAATTTAGTATTAAGTCATTGATATATAAAATTTATATATTTAAAAATTACACTAAAAGTACTACAAAATATTAAAAATTGAATTTAATAAATTATACAAATGTTAAAGATTTTTTAAAAGTATGATATGTAAATTAATAATAAATAAAACAAGTAAAATGTGAGATATGAAGTATTAAAGAGTTTATTCTTTTTACCAAATAGTTTGGAATAGTTGATTAAAGCAACTTCCAATCATTATAATGTAGATTATGGTCTACACTGCAAGGTGCACCCATAATATACACATTTATTTTTAGTATATTGAAAGCTCTTTTTTTTTTTTTTTTTGGTAATACATTATACATGTTCATTTTTTGAATGTCCATTTTTAGTGTACTAAAGATTCATTTTAAAAAATGGAAATTAGTCTGAGTATGATACTAGTTTAAAGGTGTCTCTTACAGTTAGAGCATGTTCAGGACACCTAGTGGTCTAACAAAAAAAAATATTTAATTTTTTTTTTGAGTATAATACCTTAAAATGAACATTCAATATACTAAAATTGAACATTCATCAATGATCCAAGAGCTCGCGATTGGGGTTAAATAATACTATAAGGTCGGAATTCAAGTTTGATTGTTAAAAGAATTAACGTGATTCATTGCAATTAATTGGTTATTAAAAAAATTGTAATTTAACAATTAATTAATTGTGATGTACAGTAATAAGTTAATAATTTTTTTTTTTACAAGCTCTTCTTGAGCCTTTAAGTCTTGGTGTCCTGTGTGATTTGTCTCCACACGTTAAACGGCAGGTATGCTAACATTTGTGATCTCAGGAATTTGGTGTCTTCCACGTCATCATTGGATCTCTTTCCACATGAATTATTAATCTTCTAACCCCTCTCTAAACTTGTCTTAGTGCCATTTTTAAAAGAACAAAACAAAAAACATGATGGCGTTGCTTTTGAATCTTGTGGAGTGATTCTAGGAAAAATTTATATTAATATCCCCAAATTCACGCTAGCGTAGGGTGATGAACGAAAAATATTAAATTCCGACATATATTTTATACACGCTTTTCTTAAAACTTATTCATTTCTTTATGTAAATGTTATTAGAAGCGTTGAAACTAACAAGGCGAGGAATTTTAAATTCCCTTCCCACTTAATTCCCACATAATTCTAAAGGTCATTAAATTCCGTAGTTTGGTTGGAGGGAATTGCAATTCTCCCATTTTCATGGAAGTAAAATCCCATGTCCCCCTGGGATTTTAATTCCTGAGAAAAAAAGATAGTGATGAGTCAAAATTACCCCTTCCTTTTTTAACTTAAAATTAATGTCTAACAATAGTAATGGACATTTTTGACTTTATACTACTTATTCCCTTTCAATTCCCATGTATACCAAACATTGGAATTGAAATTCCCAGTAATTCTATTCCTGTCAACCAAACACTGGAATTTAAATTCTCACTTTATTCACAATAATTCAACTCCCATAGAATTACAATTCCTTTCCCACGTAATTCTCCCTCTCCAACCAAACGCCCTGTAATAGTACGTGATCTGAGCTCCAGTCAAAACAATACCTTTAATTAAAATGATCATTCATATGCTATTTTCGTGCTAATTTTAATTTCCAACAGTAATTGATCACGATGAATCATCTTTCAATTATTGCATGGATTAGTCTTGTGATAAATGTATATATAATTATATATACTAGAGTAGTGTCAATCCTTTTCCCAAAAGGTTGAACCACAACTCTAAGGGGAGTAGTGTCAATCCTTATATGTATGAGGGGTTGTATCGCTTCTAAATGGTAGAAACGAGGATCTCTAGTGGGTGCCTTCATCGTTCTTGACCTTCTTGATAATCATAAATTAATCAAGTACTCTCTAAATTTACCTTCTAAAAATACTGTCCCAACACAATTTCAAAACGTAATAAATTACCCAAATATAATTATACTCCGTACTATAATACCATAAGCAATTCACACTTCATAAGTAAATTCGATAATCCATTCACCAAGCTATTGCATTTCTCATATGCTCGGATCGATTAACCTTTACCACTACTATCAATATTAATTTTGAGAGGCCTTTTTAGTGATGTTTACTTCTCTTGTGTAATTTACAACTTTACATACTATTACACAAGAACTAGTATGATTTACACAATACACATTATCAAGTAATGACTGTGATTTTCTATCGACACCTAAACAACATATTAATTTTGACAGTACTTATTTCCAAGTTCACTTATTATTGCAATATATATATATATATATATATATATATATATATATATATATATATATATATATATATATATCATAACCAACCATTATTATTTAATATGCATGGGTCCTCAACCTTAAAAATAATAACAAAATACTCCAGGCCAACAGACCAAGCTGCAATCCAATTGTATTATTAAATATGTACACCTGACCCCTTAATATTATTATTGTTTAACTTGTCCACTTGACGACATAAATTACGGTTTAAGAATCATAACATATATATATATATCGTAGATCGAATAATCCTAATTTTAATTTCATCATTAAAATAATAATAATTAGAGTCTGTTCATGCAAACTATGCATTTGTCGGCAAGTAAGTATGCCTACTCATGCACATTAAAAATAAAGATTTGCATGTATTTAATTAATAAAAGACTCTGATCCTATGAATGTGGTGCTTTAACATAATAACAACAATAACAACAACAACAACAACAATAATAATAATAATAATAATAATAATATGCAAATTATGTATGTACTTGTGAAGAATTGTTCCGTACCTGGATACGACTGCACCCAAAGTCCTCCAGACATGTCTGGGCCCATTGTAGTGTACTCATTCACAAGTTCCATAGTTCGCAGGTTATTGTCAGTTCTCACCTAATTAGAAATATATATATATATATATATAGTATGTACTATGTAGTAGAAAACAATACAAGCGTATAAATGTAATTATAAAAAGAGTGTTACTTGCAAATTTTGCATGTGTCGGTAAGTAGGGGTGCCTTTTGTTGTTTTATGAAATGGCCTTCTTCTTGTCTGTATCTATGATAAATATAATAGTCCAGCAATGTTGACGTGTGGAATCTTAATTGCTTAAATGCTGGATTATATAAATCTCTTTATTTACTTTTATATTATGACTAGTATTTTCTATGCGTGATGTGTAAAAATATGTGTCTAATATTAATATTTTATATTAAAAATTTTAATTTATTTAGATTTAGATAGATATTTTTATTATTGTAAATAATAATAATAATGATAATAATCATATTAATATTAATATTAATAATATAAAATATTTTTATAAATTTGATATTTATATTTTAGAAAATAACTAACATATAACTCCAATATATAATGTGTATATTATTATTATTATTATTATTATTATTATTATTATTATTATTATTATTATTATTATTATTATTATTATTATTATTATTATTATTATTATTATTATTGAAGATAATAAAATATATGGTAGATGCGTGTGCATGTTAACAATAGTGGAAAAAGATAATGAAAGTTGTAACGGTAAGGGTATGCTTGTTCAAAATATTATATAATACAACTCTTACAGCATAATGTATAGAAAAATATACTGAAAAAACAGACATAAATCAAGGGTATGGTATAACTTTCATTTGCACTTATTAGTTTTTAGATATTTGATTCTAGTTCATTCAAGTAGTAGGGAATTAAGTTATATTTAAGTATAAGATTGAAAGTTTGAACTGGTAGGAGAGATTCAACTCAAGCTCAATTGGATTAATATAATCTTGTATAGAGTATGGATACAAGTGCAATATGAAAAAAATTATATATGACTCAGTCCCAAAAGTAAGCATGTAGAGCCCGATTCTCATACCAGAAGGTTACATAATTTGGTTCAGATAGCTGACGTTGTTACAATGTAGTATTTAATCTGTTCATATCTACTGAGACACAACACAAAGAGTCAATACCGCCCCACTGAGGCTCGAACCCATGACCTTTCATTTTAGAGAGTCACTTCATACTACTAGACCACAAAGTCATTGACGAGATTTTTTGTAAACAAAAGATTTTGCCAAGCACCTTGCGCTCAGATGGCATGTAGTGACCTCTTCCATGTAGGAGGTCATGAGATCGAGCCTTAGTAGAGGTGTTGTTGGCGTTGTTGACTCTATGTCCTTCATTAGGTTAAGAATGTATGTTTGAACAGATACTATAAAACAATTAGGCCATTTTCAAACAATTCTTCCAATTTGAAGGTTTCCAACAGGTCATCTCCCAAATTAATTATTAAAAAAAAAAAAAAAAAAAAAATTGGAATCCAGCCGGAGACGACCGTCTCCGGCCGGAACC